TTTGTACAACTACAGTATAATGTTTCATAATTGAAATGTTCAAATTTCATTGTTTAAAATAGTCAATTGTACTTCATATTGTAAATTGTTTACTGTAATTTTTTACTACTAAATATCATTGCTTAGTTTACCTTTTCAGGGTCCAGAGGCCAAATTTCAAAGTGTGCACCAGGGTCCAAAAATTTTCCAAAAAATTTTGTTATTTTTTCTTATGAAATGGTAGAGAATCTTTTTCTGAAGGTAATAAAACAAAAAGTACGAAATTTGATGGAAAACTGACGAAATTATGCTCTAGCGAATTTTGATGTGTCAGCGATATTTATGGATCGGCGATTTTGCGGACTTTGACTCCCATTTTAGGCCAATTATATTATTCCAGTCAACCAAATTCTTAGTTATTTCACTAGTATTACTTCTATTCTATGGACTGAGCACAAGAAATTGCCAAGTCAACTGTTTCAACTACAAAATAAAGTGATCGGAAATTGGTAATTTGGCCAATTTAATGCAAAGTTCAAAATATTCCAATTTCAAAATGGGGCCCAGAATAAACAATGCAGGCATTCCTGGCACTAAACTAACATTTCCTCTGTTCATTAGTTACATTTTCAGGCTTTACAGATGAATTCCATTTTGAATTTTTATTCAAACCAAAAAATAGATTTACTGTTATGCAATACTGTAATAATTGTATTAATAATATCAGCACATTTGTGTATGTATATTAAACCCACCAGCTGGCATTTATTAGACGTGTGAGGTCATTTGTTTACTCTTGAACATCGGCAAAAATTTAACATTTCCACTACTTTGAGCTCAGTTTCAAGCCATTTTCAGTACTAAAACCAATCAAAATCATCTCTATTTCTGTAATATATCTTCCATTCTATCAAATGAGACCAAGAAATTGCAAATACAACTATAAAAAACTTACGAAAAAACACTGTAAAGTTGCCGTTTTAATCGAAAATTATGGTCTCAGTTTTTTTTTCTCTCATTATGCACTGTGTGCAGCAGAATTTGTTTTATGTGGTGCACACATACCACATAGATGTATTCTCTCATATCTAGGCCCAAATTTACTGCTCACAACTTATCAGAGAGAGTTGAGCTCATGGCATAGATCTACAGCTTGGACCCTCAATGTAAAGCTGTAGATCTACGGCATGGACCCTGACCGGGTTAATCTTAAGTTAATTTTAAGCCTGCCCATAATGCTCTGCATACAAAGGGCTTTTGGCATGTACACCCATCTACTATAATTCCTTGTACAACTACGCATCATGTCCAAATAAAAATTATTATTATTATTATTATTATTATTATTATTATTATTATTTCAAACACCCAAAAATATTAACAAAAAATACATTTTTAAGAGAATAACTATAGTTTTACATACAGAAAACAATGAGAAATAACTATAAATAACTAATTTTAATGATAAATGAACATTACATACTTTTATTGAAGACTCTTGTTGGTGAGTAGTATTTATTTGTAGTCCCAGGCAGACTACATCCCAGTGTATACCTACCGGTTACATACACTGCAGCCTACAGCCATATTATTACCATTGACATACCACGTTCACTGAGTTTAATCGTTTCTAGCAGCTACCTTTAGATGCCATCATAAACAGAGGGAGAAGGAATGAATAATTCATGCCGAGAATTGTAAACAAAAGTTTATGTATTAAGGGCGGTTACTGGGCCAACACAGATTCATACAGTTTTCTCTAATGCTGGACAAGAGAAAACATAACGTTTACCCCCACCGCATATAAAGATTGCATGTTTATATGCTATGTAATGTGCTTCTTACATAATTTTGAAGAAAATATCACAGATGGATTAATGAAATGTCTATATTAACCTAAAATAAGACATTTAATGTGCCCAAGAGTGAGCCATGAATGCATGAGCGGCCCAGGCGCACATGTCTGGTACCAACGATTTCTGAGGGGATGTACAAAACCCGGGGGAATATTTCACAGAAAAAGTGCTCAAAATCTGAATTGTATAATTTCCACACCGGCCAAAAACCAGGGGTTCACTGTATGATTCTGTGTTTAGCGAGCCATTAGTCAGATGCAAGATAGACAATCCAAATTATTTTATGAACAAGACCCATAGTTTTGTCAACATATCCAAAAATTTTTATATAACACTACTTGACTTTGAAAGTCATTGACAACATGCCCACTCACTCTGTGCCAGGCCTAGAATCATGGAACTCCATGTTCATCAAGAACTGCAAGAACCCCTGTTGTGTGCCTTGTGTATGCTGTGGAGAGGGCACCTTAATACAGGGGTCATCCCACAGTCACTAAAAGCAACAGATATAGCCCCCCAACCCCCTCCAGAAAGGATACAAAGCAACAGCAAAGAATTATAGACCAATAGCTCAAATGTGCTACATCATAAAAAAAAAAAAAGTCTTCAAAAGGGTTCCAAGAAGCAAGACTGCCAACCACTTGGGCAATCCAGGGCAACATGGGTTTAGAGCAAGTCACTCCTGCCACTGACAACTACTGGAATACTATGACATGGTCTTGGATGCACTAGAGGACAAACAGAATGCAGATGTAGAATACACAGATTTCGCAAAAGCCTTTGACAAGTGCAATCATGGTGAGACAGCGCACAAAATGCATACTAAAGGAATAACTGGAGAAGTGGGTAGATGGATTTTAACCTTGCTATCCAAGAGAACACAAAGAGTAATAGTAAACAGAGTTAAGTCAGAAGCTGCCCCAGTGAAAAGCTCTCTTCCACAATGTACAGTCCCCCCCCCCCCTTCCTCTAGACATACATACATAGACAGACAGACACACAGCTAGACAGACAGACAGACAGACAGACACACACACACACACACACACACACACACACACACACACACACACACAGAGGTGGGGCCAGGAGCTATGAATCGACCCCTGCAACCACAAATAGGTGAGTACAAATAGGTGAGTACAGAGACAGACAGACAGACACAGACAGACAGACACAGACAGACACAGACAGACAGACACACACAGACACAGACACAGACACAGACACACACACACACACACACACACACACACACACACACACACACACACACACACACACACACACACACACAATTTGATCCCAAAATAAATCTGTCAAATTTATTGTATTGTAAAATCACTCATTTCAACAAAATCCACATTTCTTGACTTATTTCTACTTAAAAGAATATGACCATACTACATATGCAGAAAACGCACATATAAAACTGCATTTAGTGAACAATGAAATAAAATCGATCCTTTCGTAAAGGTTCTTGACAGTGGATGGCTGTGAGAGAGAGAAGACAAGATGTCACAGTGATGGGAAGTAGATCTTTCAAGAGTGATCACCTTCATGATAGACTACATTAAAGTACAAGTACTGCCCACACATTGTAGTTTGTCTCATACAGTAAAAATTATTAGGTGGGCATTATCTCCATTATGTTTTATCATTAATTATATTATCTCATGATTATAAAACCAAAACAGGTAAATATTTTCAACATGGAGTTATTTAATGTTTTAAATTTATGAGATGATTCTGTTTTAAACCCAATTTAATGTTATTTATTCCATGGGTTAAGTGCGGAGATGATGTGTTTTACTGCTCATTTCATGTGACTACAACAAAAACATTGACTGCCTTTCTATCAATAAATCTATGTATATAAGAGCAATCATATGTTAGACTCGAAATGACTGAAGTTATAAATATTAAAACAAAAATAAATTAACTATTTCTTAAGATATGCTGCTTGATCTACTAAGTTGTTGTTGCTGCCTGAGTTAATGACTGTAAGCTAGCTAAATGTTTAATAGTGCCAGTAATGAAAACAGGTATCTATATCAATCATTATAACAAAATTATACAAGTTAGCAACAGATACAACACTTGAGGAAAGGTGTCATTTTTCAACTATACTACTTAAAGTAAAACAAAAAATATATATCAGAAAATCTTACATCCAATAACCAAGAAGAAAAAAGCTCAAAAACAATACTTAGACTTACTGAACTGGGCACGCATAATTTTTGGAAATTCAGACACTTCTTAAATAGCAACCAAACTAACTGCATTATGAATAAGCAGCAGCCTAAGAAAGTTGGAGTGAATCAGCAAAAAGGTAACATAAGATTTAAATCATCCAGATTTATCAAATTCTTCCTTCAATGTTTTGCCCATTAACATTACTTGTTAACAGTGTTACAGTCTATAATGTAAATGTATATGACTTATTATCCTCCACAAGCTATCTTTGTTTTTATGTCAACCCAACGTTTGGAGGAGAAAATTTCTCTTAACATGGAGAGGATAGTCATCTCATAATTTTGATTGTGTCATTCTGTTGCTAAATTAGTATTTGTATGGATATTTGCAGAAGTAATTTGAATCCATGTATAACTGTCTTTTGAGTGTGACTAAATATCTCCCTCCTAGTAGTTTATTGACATTAATGATGTGGTACAGCCCTAACAACAAAATACCTTATAACTAAAAGATTCATGCTCCACTGAAATATTTGCAATAATACTCTGCCTGAGACACTCATATTATTGCATAAAACAGTTTATAAAACAAATTACATCTGAAAATTGTATATAGAAGGAAAGCTGCATTTACTTTTCAAAACTGTTTTATGGTGTAACACGTATGCTCAGACAAGATCACTGTAATGAAGGAGTGCTTCAAGTAGGAAAGGTTAATTTAAGAAAAATGAGGATATTACTTCTGGAAATATAGATATAATATCCTTGGGATATCATCATTCTCTTTGTAGAACAGCATGAAACTATGAAAATAAACCAAAAGCAGCCAAAAAGAAAAAAAACCTTGCAATTCCAGAACATATTCCAATTACACAGTCTAAAAAAAAAAAAAAAAAAAAAAACATCTACTACCAGAAACAGCCAAACAGACAAACCAACATCCACACAAGTTGTGCAGAGCAGCATCTACTTACCCAGGCCCGGGATAATAATATGGAGGCGGTCTCTCGTACTCTGGGGAGAGGCTGGGCTGACTGGTGTAACGTGGGGGCCCGCCGCTTGGAGGGTAGTCTGCCCAGCTGTGTGCACACACGGATAGGCAAACTGACACAACCATACCTACACTCAACTACTACTACTGCTACAGTTACACCTTGTTAATACACACTATCCCTCTTCATTAAACATGCTTTACATAAATTACATGGGCCAAAATCCTTTTAAAAACTTGATGAAAAAATCTATACTAAATAGCTAAGTCAGGTTCAAATAAATTCCTAATCTAACAACTGTTACAAATGATGCAAGATTCAATATATATCATCCTTATCTTCCATATTAAAGCATTTTGGCCAATTTACCTAAGTACAGAATACAATAATTATATGAAAGTCATATACATAGAAGTGTTCATTAATCATACTGGTGTAAGTTAGTAAATCTTAAGAATAACAAGGTGCAACTGTAATGGTTAACTTTGAACCCACTGTGTTTCCAAGTCAAACACAGTCATCAATTTCAGTGTTCTCTTAGGTATATATTGTGATGAGTTAGTGAACTAATTGTCATCAGAATCATCATCATCCAACACAAACTTGCTTGTCAAAATAAAAATTAAAATAGCTTAATCCATATTCAAGAGACATACCCAAGCCAAGTAACACTTCTAAAGTAATACTACTCACTAATGCAATTAAAACATTTTATGGTTCCATGCTCATGCTTTATTTGCATTTGCTGAGTATGTGGATGTACCTTTTGTATATAGCCTCAACACTAAAGTATTCTTCGACATATGCATCACATGGTTTAATACATCTACTGAATATGGCTCATAGGTGCAGCTTTTTGCTTACCAATCATCCCGAGTGTCACACGAGATAAGCATTAAGGTGCTGCGTCACTTTACAGTATTACCCAGAACAAACTTTTTAATAACCTACATTGTACTTCAAGCAACATTTACATCCATACACTGAATAACTAAGGCTTGATGTTTGTAATGTCCTGTTGTAATCAAATGCTTGAGAACCAGAATGTAGCCTTTAGAAGAAAATTGTAGCCAAAGTGCAAAGCTTGAGCTTTAGTTGAATAAAATAAAGAGAAAATGCCTCAAAGGGACTAAATTAAAAAAAAAAAAATAAAGGCAATTCTCACCTTAGTTCTAAAAACCAAAGGCATATCTCAGAAAATGCATAGCAAACAGGTGTAGCAAATTCACATCCTACATAAGAATTAGTGAATTTCAACCACTTTCGGTGCTTTCATACAACATATTTGCCTATTTAAACAAAAAATGAACTGTATTTAAGCACTAGTAGTTGAAGTTCACTAAAAATATTGCATATCATACAGTATAATGCAAGGTTACTTACTCTGTAGTGTTAATGTACTCTCTGTGTGGTGGTGATGCTTGTGAACCACTGTAGGCTTGATCTGCCGTGTAGCTACTGCTCACATACCCTTCATGCTCACGGGAACGCCGCCGCTGCTTCTTATCGTAGGCACTGCTTTGGAATACATGGAGGAGTTGGTTCTTCCATATATCTAACATTTCTTTTATAATCAGAATGCATGTCAACACATATGGTAAAATAATTTGTATTATCATGTTTTTACAACACTATACAGTACTACTTTCAATAATTATGAGTTGGAATACATAATCACAAATAGGCTTGTAAATACACAAGATGCCATGCATTCAACAAAATACAGTACAATGTACTCAAGCATTTACAAAAACACTAAATTTGAAGCTCTGCATACGCTGAACAGCAGAACCTATACCATCTGCACAAGTTTCCCTCTGGCCTTATTAAGGCAACTGATAATGGACAGAGAAGCTCATCCACCACCAAAGACCCATATAGCATAGCACAAAATTGACAGTAATAAGTTTTAACCCTTAAACAGTCCAAATGTATCTATACGTTCACTCGCGCAGCGCCCTGAATATTTTGAAAAAGTAAAATTTTTTTTTTTTATATAGAAAAAAGAGCACATTTTTTAAATATTTTAGAATAAAAAAATAAAATTTTCATGGTCAGTACTTACCAAGATATGAGGCCAAGAAGTTGGCACTGGGTGCTCATGTGACAGCAACATCAAGTCCTGCTGCTTGCGGAAGTGTTGCCCATATACCTTTTTTTCTATTTTTTCATATTATTTTATATAATTTTTATCTTCTGATAATTACAATTTGTAGCAGTTCTTGTCATTTTATAACCAATCTTTGTTCTGCCACTAGTATTAGGTACTGAAACTGTACTCAAATTGTCACAAACACACTGACAGGTGGACATTTACACCTGCCTTGGTCATTTACTATTGTCTTGGAATATAAATAAAGTATTTATAGGTCCCAGCAATGTTTTGGATATGTGGAAGTGGAAGAAGAGAAGGAGGAAGAGGAGGAAGAGGAGGAAGAGAAGGAAGAGGAGGAAGAGGAGGAGGAAGAGGAGGAGGAAGAGGAGGAGGAAGAGGAGGATGATGAAGAGGAGGAGGAGGATGAAGAGGAGGAAGAGGAGGAGGAGGAAGAGGAGGAGGAGGAGGAAGAGGAGGAGGAGGAGGAAGAGGAGGAGGAGGAGGAAGAGGAGGAGGAGGAGGAAGAGAGGAGGACGGAGGGAGGAGGGGAGGGAGGAGGAGGGAGAGGGGAGGAGGAGGGAGAGGAGGAGGAGGGAGGGGGGGAAGGGGGGAGGGGGAGGAGGAGGGAGGGAGGGAGGAGGGAGGGAGAGGGAGGAGAGGAGAGGGAGGGAGAGGGAGGGAGAGGGAGGAGGAGGAGGAGGGAGGAGGAGGGAGAGGAGGGAGGGGGAGGAGGAGGGGAGAGGGAGGGAGAGAGGGAGGGGGGGGAGGGGAGGAGAGGGAGAGGGAGGGAGAGGGAGGAGGAGGAGAGGGAGGAGGAGGGAGAGGGAGGGAGGGAGGGAGGAGGAGGAGAGGGAGGGGAGGGAGGAGGAGGGGAGGGGAGGGGGAGGGGAGGGAGAGGGAGAGAGGGAGGAAGGAGGGAGAGGGAGGAGAGGAGGAGGAGGGAGGGAGAGGGAGAGGAGAGGAGGAAGGAGGGAGAGAGGAGGAGGGAGGGGAGAAGGAGGGAGGAGGAGGGAGGAAGGAGGGAGAGGAGGGAGGAGGATGGGAGAGGAGGGAGGAGGAGGGGGGGAGGGAGAGGAGGGAGGAGAGGGGGCAGAGGGAGCGTCGGAGGGGAGGAGGCTGTGGGCGGGAGGGGAGGGAGGGGAGGAGGAGGAGGAGGGAGATAATATTACGTACTAATAATAATACATAAGAATAACAATATGCAATAATATGTTCCCTCGAAGCATGAAAAACAAGGTCCACCCCTGACAGTGACATGATAAGGGGAGATAACATCTGATAAGAGCTGACGTTTGATGAGCGTAAACAAGGGTGGGGGAGGGTGCAGCTGATAAGAAAAGATTAGATGGCCATCCCCCTCTCTTTGTTTTTGCTGGTACACAAACATTTCTGTCTGTATTTGTCTCTGTCAAGCTCCCTGTCCATCCGCCTAGCTCTCTGTCTCAGAGAGATCCACAAGACTGTGTCATCACCTTTACTCACATCTTCAAGCAGAGTATAGCACTTTGTCTGGATTTTGGGATTATCCTAGGTAATTTATACTACATATACTTGTATTTATGTGTACCTGTGAGACAGAGATAGACAAAGACAGATTGAAAGAGATAGACAGGGACAGATAGACAATGCCAGAGACAGACAGATAGACAGACAGAGACAGATGTAGACAAAGATCGACAGACCCAAAACTTGGGGTTAACATCACTTTCCTCGTAGAAGAGAAGTGTTAATATGACATTACATCAGTGAATCCTTGGTGTTTGCCACACAGTTTGCTCTAGCTGGCACTCAATTTAACTGGCGCTCCCACAAGGTACCAAGTGATCCTAGATTTTTTTAATACTGCGCACACTGAGTGTTGAGACCAATTCTATGCTGACCAGGCACCTCAGGCCAATCGTGCAAAATTTGGAGGCAGGAAAATAAAACGTATATATACATTTGGGGCGCTACGCGTAAGAACGTATATATACGTTTGGACCGTTTAGGGGTTAATAAGGCAGATAAAATTTTTGCACAATATATAAAACTGCAATGTTATTTAATGTATTGGTGGTTATGAATGTTCATCTGCAGATGCTATTTATAAATGCACATGACAGGATGCAGTGAAGGGGGGTGAGAATAGGAAACCAAACATGCCACCGATGATGCCACACAATTGACCTCATGCAAAACGTTTAAGATTTCCTTCAACCTGCATCAGCCACATAACACACCTACCAGACAATTGATAACTTCCACCATATTTATTAACCCATAAACGGTCCAAACACATATGTACGTTCTCTCGCCCAGTGCCCCGAATATTTTGAAAAATAATTTTTTTTTTTTAACCCTTACACGGCCCAAACGTATATATACGTTCACTCGCGTAGTTCCCCAAATTTTTTGAGGAAAAAAGAAATCCTTTCTTTTAAAAGGAAAAAAGAGCATATGGTACCCAGGAATCCCCAATTATTTTAATATGGAACACAGTGAGTGCACACACCCATTCTCTCATGTCTAGGTGACTCAGGCTTATTGTGGCAATGTTGAATGAATGACAAAGAAAACGTATACAGTGGACCCTCGACCAACGATGGCATCGATTAACGATAAATCCGACTAGCGATACATTTTAACGCAAAAATTTTGCCTCGACTAGCGCTAAAAAACTCGACCAACACTATTCGTTCCATCTGAGACGCGTCCACTTCTGGCCAGCGTTTACAAGCCAGCCAGCCACTGCAGTCACTTCCAAGCATACAATCGGAACATTTCATATTATCACAGCCTTTTTAGTGATTGCACTTGCAAAATAAGTCACCATGGGCCCCAAGAAAGCTTCTAGTGCCAACCCTACAGCAAAAAGGGTGAGAATTACTATGGATATGAAGAAAGAAATCATTACTAAGTATGAAAGTGGAGTGCGTCTCCGAGCTGGCCAGGTTGTACACAAAACCCCAATCAACCATCGCTACTATTGTGGGCAAGAAAACGGCAATCAAGGAAGCTGTTCTTGCCAAAGGTGAAACTATGTTTTCGAAACTGAGATCGCAAGTACTCGAAGATGTTGAGAGACTGTTATTGGTGTGGATAAACGAAAAACAGATAGCACGAGATAGCATCTCTAAAGCGATCATATGTGAAAAGGCTAGGAAGTTGCATGACGATTTAATTAAAAAAATGCCAGCAACTAGTGGTGATGTGAGTGAATTTAAGGCCAGCAAAGGATGGTTTGAGAGATTTAAAGGGAAGGAAAGTAACCCCAGAAAAGGACTTGCCACCTCAAGTCCTAATGGAAGGGGATTCCCCTTCTAAACACTAACACCATCAACACTCTCCCCTCCTCCCATCCCATCAATCATCACCAGATCTTCAATAAAGGTAAGTGTCATGTAACTGTACTGTGCATGTCTTCTTCAGTTTGTGTGTATTAAAATTAATATTTCATGTGGTAAAAACAATTTTTTTTTTCATACTTCGGGGTGTCCTACACGGATTAATTTGATTTTCATTATTTCTTATGGGCAAAATTAACTTGACTAACGATAATTTTGACTAACGATGAGCTCTCAGGAACGGATTAATAGCGTTAGTTGAGGGTCCACTGTATATACGTTTGGGGCGCTACGCGCGTGAACGTATATATACGTTTGGACCGTTTAAGGGTTAAAGAGCACATTTTTCTAAGTGTTTACCTGGAGAGAGTTCCGGGGGTCAACGCCCCCGCGGCCCGGTTTGAGACCAGGCCTCCTGGTGGATCAGAGCCTGATCAACCAGGCTGTTGCTGCTGGCTGCACGCAAACCAACATACGAGCCACAGCCCGGCTGATCCGGAACTGACTTTAGGTGCTTGTCCAGTGCCAGCTTGAAGACTGCCAGGGGTCTGTTGGTAATCCCCCTTATGTGTGCTGGGAGGCAGTTGAACAGTCTCGGGCCCCTGACACTTATTGTATGGTCTCTTAACGTGCTAGTGACACCCCTGCTTTTCATTGGGGGGATGGTGCATCGTCTGCCAAGTCTTTTGCTTTCGTAGTGGGTGATTTTCGTGTGCAAGTTCGGTACTAGTCCCTCTAGGATTTTCCAGGTGTATATAATCATGTATCTCTCCCTCCTGCGTTCCAGGGAATACAGGTTTAGGAACCTCAAGCGCTCCCAATAATTGAGGTTTTTTTATCTCCGTTATGCGCGCCGTGAAAGTTCTCTGTACATTTTCTAGGTCGGCAATTTCCCCTGCCTTGAAAGGTGCTGTTAGTGTGCAGCAATATTCCAGCCTAGATAGAACAAGTGACCTGAAGAGTGTCATCATGGGCTTGGCCTCCCTAGTTTTGAAGGTTCTCATTATCCATCCTGTCATTTTTCTAGCAGATGCGATTGATACAGTGTTATGGTCCTTGAAGGTGAGATCCTCCGACATGATTTACTCCCAGGTCTT